AATAGGGTAATGTCGTTCTACCACTTCTACGAGAATCAAACAAATGAACAGAATCCTGATGAATACTGTCCATTTGCCATTCGATCTTTACCGATACTTTGAACATCGTGTTTACATTTGGCAGCTAATTAAAGTGATGAATAAAATGTTGGTGCAAAGTGTTCGTTTCCTAAATGATTTTAACTCGTAATTGCAATCTCGTTCTACCACATTGGAGTGAATGAAAGAAATGAATAGTATCTTTGTTAATAGTATCCATTTGCCAAACGACCTTTCCTATACGTGGATCATCACTCTAGCACTGGGTAGTAACTCATAAAGAAGAATGGAGCCCTGCTAAAAAGTGTCCATTTAGCATTTCATCTCCACTGTTAGGTTCACGATCGTTCTACCACTTCGCACCGAAACGAAATGTTGAATAGAAACCTCCTGAATACGGTTCATTTGACAAACGACTCTTAGTCATAGACTTCACATCGTTCTATAACATTCTTGCGAATGAAAGGCATGAATAGAAACTTTCTCATTACTGTCAATCAACCGTACGATGTCTACTCATGGTTCACACATGATTCTAGCACTTCGAACGAAACGCAAGAGATNCGATTAGCCATTCATTGCCATTTTGTACCCTATTTCTCCATGAGTAAATTGATCATAAATTTTCCTAAACTTTTTAGAAAATAGATTTATTATATACCATTGGATGCACCGTGAAATTCTCTACAAGATGGTATATTTGGATTTTCAATTCTGGATAGATCATCTTATCCGACAGGGTCCCTTATTTGACCAGCTCTTGGTGGTTTGATTGCTTATTCTATGCACAAATAGACATATATTTCAGATTATTATTAATTATGTTTAAACAACGTAGAAAGACAAAATTTATCTGTGCATTATTTTATTTCCTATCACTTGTTAGTTTCACAATTCTTCTCATTATTGCTCGGAACATTTTAATTTCACAAAAAGAGAACATCAGATCTTCAATGTGGAATGTACTAAATATTAAGGAGACTCCAATTAATGAACAACACTACATAAATGCTAGTAATGCTCAAAACAATTCGATAGCTACAACATCAGAAAAATCATTATTATTAGAAATCAATAAACATATTTTGACTTTTACAGATTCAAAATTTATTTATCAAAATAAAACATTAGAAACAACTATTCAATGTGTCGGTTCATTATACAATCAATCTTGTTTGTATCATAATTTATACTATGTTGACAGTGCATTTATGATTTTAACAGTGAAAGGAAAACATTTACCTTCATATTCTGTACGAACAAACGCTTTTGTACTCTGGCCTACAACGCCAAACAAACGTGTTTTTGATTCATATTCTGAGCTTGAAAAATTTGTTCGTACTGTTATTGATCCAAGGATAATTCCATCTGTTACTCTTCATTTTGGTCAACCTTGGCATTTCAATATTGGTCATGCACTCTTTGATGGGCTCTATCCAGCATATGTTGCACTTATTCGTTTTTCCCCAAGACATCTTCATCCTTTTCGTATTCTTGCTGAAGTAGATGACTGTAATGATTGTTGGAGTGAAGATATTTATAGTCGTTTTGGTGGTCTTGGAATTGTTAAACAAAGAGTTCTGAATAAAATGTCCAAAGGAAATTGGTTTATGTTTGAAGAGCTTGTTATGGGTAGTGGAACATTGTGTCAACGTTGTACACAACCTAATTTACAATTACCTGGAGGTGTTGAATTAGATGCTTCAAGACTTTTTCGTGATAGAATATATCAACAGCATGGTCTTATTCATCCAATCAGTCGACTAAAATCTTCATCTGAAAGACGAACTTCTCATGATCTTCTTTTAGCATATATTATTGATAATAAACGTTTTACAAGTAATGATCGAAAAGAAATCGCTGATGCTATAAATGAAATAAATAATTATACGGATTCTTATTGGAATAAAACTACAAATAAAACAACTACATTAGAATGGCCACTAGTTCGTGTCTCTTATCTTTTCTATAATCAGGTTAGAGCTCAAAACCTTAGTTCCATTCAAATAAATGCAACACCAGCTGATTCTCGATCTCCAACGTATGAATTAATTGAAAATAATTTCATAGCTCAATTAAAAATTTTACGTCAAATGGATATTCATATTACTGGACCAGGTACTGGACAAATGTATCAAACATTTTTATCAGATGGATCTGTGAGTATTAATATTGGAGGTATAAGACCATGGGGATTAGAAAATACGGAAAAAGCATATAGCTCATATCTTGAACAACATATGACCAGCGGTACGCCTTATATCAAAGGTCTTTATTATCCAATTAATGAACGAACTAAAGGTATTAAAAAAGATGCAATTATTAAACTAATTCGAGAAGCATCACAACTTATTTTACAAGGTTTCTCATTACCAGTCAATGCTCGAGATAATCTAGCACCTGACGGACAATTATTTGTTGATATGTGCGCAAAAGATGAAGAATTTTGTTCTTTAGTTACAACAAGAAAGGCGGATAGAGATTTTTCGTGTTTAGATTTATGGATAGAAGATTTTGTACATGAACATCGTCAATGGCAATTAGGAGGTTTTGTTGATCATGGTCGAAATATTAGTTGTCCTTTTAATCATTCGTTATTACATGAATTAAGAAAAAAATATGAAATTCAGCACAATGAAACAGACAATTCATCAAAAAATGCAACACACAATTCTGGTCGTTGATTGAAATAGAATAAATTTTTCTGATATCAATTTGAGTAAAACAGTTAAAATAAAATGTTACGAAAACAGACACATAGAGATAGTACCAAAATTATTCAACAACTAGGTGTAGATTTGTCGTTCTGTCTATATTTCAATTACTGAATGACAAAAAATCTTATAATTTGGGCGCGATCAACTGCCCTGATACCCCATTTTGATATAGTGCTATTGTAAGGATAAAAGACACTATTGTCCGGGTCATATGAAAGAGGATCCAATATAATCCTGGATTGGCCTGAGCAACACCATGTTTTATCCTTACAAATTGTAAGGATAAAACATGGTGTTGTTCAGGCCAATCCAGGATTATCTGCTCTCTAAAAAAAAAAAAAGTGTCATAGTGAACCTTTTTTCGGTACCATTTTCTGAACCCCTTTTCAGTTTTAGACATGTTCGCTATAACTGAAAAAGGTTTAGCCCGAAAGTCTAGAACCTTTATGAGTTCTATACTTGCTGGCTATAACTGAAAAAAAGGTTCAGAAAATGGTATCCAAATCTAGAACCTTTAAAAGTTCAAGATCTTCGCTAAAACCTTAAAAGGTTCAGCGTGACGTCTTTTTTTTTAGAGAGTGGGATCCTCTCTCATATGACACGGACAATAGTGTCTTTTATCCTTACAATAGGACTATATCAAAATGGGGTATCAGGGCAGTTGATCGCGCCCATTTTTACTAACTTGGTGTTTATAGTAGTTAGTATGTATTTTAGAAAGTTTCAAATGAAAATTCCAATGCATTGAGTTTTCATGAAAAAAAACAATTCGGGCGTATGATTGTTTTACTGTCCCAAAGTCATTCAAGAAGTAAATAACCATATATATTTTCTTCAATAATAAGAGTTGTAGTGTAGAGTTTTAATATCATGTTGAATGTTCTTTATGCAAGAACACTAGCAGGTGAACTTGAGGTTTGGATGTCGGTGCGTGGGTGTAGGTGTGTGGGTGTGAATGTGCATATGGAAGAAAAGAAGACCTATGTACACACACACGACCATATCCACACCCACAGCATACACTCGTGCCCGCGCCCACACCCACATTCATGTCCACACCGGCAATCACATCCACACCCAAATCGACAGCCAAAGCCACAGCCACAGCCACACCCACGCCGAAATCGACAGCCATAGCCACAGCCACAGCCACAGCCACACTCTACTCTAGTCTCAATCCTGTTCATTCCTTGAGAAACCCTGAAAGGATCTGTCAGGATCCTGAATCTCAAGGATCCTGCTAAGTTTTATTCAGGATCCTGTCTCGAATCCTAGAAATTCNTTTTTAAATTTAAATAAATAAACTATAATATCAAATCAAATTAAATTGATTTAAATTTAAAATTAAATTAAATTAAACAAAAGAAGAGAATTAAATTATGTCAAATATGTCAACCTTCTTAACAAAACAAGAATTCTCTAGGGTATGAAAAAGTTAAATAGTTGCAAAGTTTTCAAGATCTTGTACATAAAAAAAACGTAGCTCATTTAAGACTGAGCCACCCACACCCACACTGAGCAACTCATGCGTTTCCAGAGTCTGGTAGCACAATAGAATCTCGCTTTTGTTTACAAATCCATTTCTTCTTCAGTAGATTGTCAATTAGCAATCAAAGAAAAGAAAACGAAATTATTACCATTAGTGCAACCTGGAAACGATTTTTATGTTCATGTAGTAGAAAGTTAAGAACAAAAAAAATTCCACAATCGTTGTACAGCTAAAAGAGCATCAGAATTACTAGAAATGTGAGAAACACAGTCCAGTTCAGCGGCAGACTTAATATGATAAATTCAACAATTTCACTGTTCTCTACATGTTGTTCGCAAAATAGATAATGTGAAAAATTTTATGCAAAGCCATTCAAAAGTGTTCACTATTGAAGACTCAGATCGTTTTTACTTCTGCTAATACTGTGGACGAATGCTTATGCTGCTGATAGGTAACTGAGCATTGTGTATAGATGAAAAATCTGCCCAAAAATGCTGAATTGTCGTCCCTTACAAAGAAAAGAATTATTATGTAAATGTGAAGTTTTGAAGATTTATTTTGATATCATTCTCGCTATGGCCTGACCTCTTCAGGTTAGTCATGCCCTCTTTTTCTTCCTTCTGCTATTAGTTCTTTTCTTTGCTTATTGATCTTTGTTTTCTAAAAGAAAAAAACATGAAAATTCTGCAATTCTGGCAAGAGTTTCAAACAACAACTGAGTTATCTAACAATTGGTGAATTGAGATTGTTATACGATGTCATCCTCCAATATTCCATTGTATCGCGTACAAGGTACTCATTACGAATGTGCTCGAGATATCGGTGTGAAATGTCGCGAACGAATTCAGAAGCGTATCACTAATGATCAAACTCATTTCGAGTCTTTATTCAATTTTGTTCAAACAGACGAAGGTCACAAATTACATCAAGGTTTTATTGATGCTATTCGTACGATATTTCCCTGGTATTGGGATGAAATTCGCGGTCTTGCCGATGGCTCCGAAATTCCATTAGAACTATTACTTGTGTTAAACTTTGTCAATGAAACACGAACTGCACTTCGTCTTTTACAAGAAAAAACAATTGATCATGCACAACAAGAAACAGGCATGAGTGGAACAAAGGGATGTACCACTGCACTTATTAATCGAAAAGATACCAATACATTTGCATTATTACATAATGAAGATAATACGACAGGATTGTACGACACGGCCTATCTAGTCGAGGCCGATATCAAATCGAGCGCATACGATGATGGTACTAGACATAGTCCCAATGAACGATTCGTTGCTTATTGCTATGCTGGTGTCATTCCTGGTACGATGTTACTTTATTCAAATAAATCCATCTTCTAGCTAGGGAAGTTTCTCGAGAATTAAGAATCGAATAGATGAATGATTTCTAAAAAGTTTTACGTTGGATGTTAATATCGTGTTTAATATCTTCATTGTTTAGGTAATGCGTTCGGTACAAATATGTATGGGTTTGTTATTGCTTTGAATGCACTTCATCCGAATTATATTGGAGAAAGTCGAATTCCAAGACAGATTATCAATCGAGCACTTCTCTCTGTTGTCGACGAAAATGAATTAGATAAACTTCTTCATGAAACACCCATTGCATATGGTTTTTGTATTAACGGGGGATTTTTTCGCGCAGACAATAATCAACAATGTTATTTGCTTAACTATGAATTGGGACCGAATTTGAACAGTCATGATAACATGACAAACAAGAATTTTATCAGTAAATGTCTTGTTCTAAACAATGAACAATATGAACAATATCAAAAAAAGAATGGTAGGATGGATATTTTACTACTATTTTTATAACGAAATCTCCATTCATTAGATGATGTTTGTATTGTCTTGAATTATCTTCTTCATTACAATCATTATGAACGACTTCAAGGATCGATTGTTGAAAGAGCAGCACTTTTATCAAGTCGAAATCGTGCTCGACGTGGACTCGAATTTGGAGAGATACGCACGGAAAAAGACGCCTTAACTTTATTAGGTGATCGAGCCGATGAAAAGTTTCCGATTTTTATCATTCCTGAAACGAATGAAAACAATACGGCAACACTTTGTACGGCTCATTTTAATTTTCATACATATCAATTGATCATCTATCGGAATAATCCGAAAGACAATAGTGAACCACATCTAGTGTATAATCTTGCTAATTTATGGAAGCAAAACGACAAGACTGAGAAATAAAAAACACATCAGGTTTTTTTAGAAATTTGTTTTTTTGAACTTGTGATTAATTTTTGATTATGCTGATTTATTTTAGAATTTTCTTTATTAAGTTGTAAGCAATCGAATCTCATTTCAAATAAATAACACAACAATGGAGAGCCTAGATTAACTTCGTCAATTGAGACATAGAAAATGCCAAGATACAAATCATGTACCACTTCTCAACCTGTGGAAAGAAAACCTTTTATTTTCTTAATTTTAATGCGTCACTTGAAAAAAGAAAGACAATTTTTGGCAACAGATCCATCTTAAAAATTATCGTATGAAATTCTTTTGAATCTGTTTTGATATTCGAATAAAAATGAATCAGTGCCGATTTTTATCTTCACTTTAGTTCTTTAATAGTAGTCAAACGTATTCCAAGAAACGCCTCGCTAATGCCATCGCGAAAGAATTTACATCGTCGAAAGTCCCTTTCTTCATACGTAATCGACTCAGGATAGTTCCATATTGGATTCAACAGCTAATCGGATTAATTTGAACGAAATTAGTCAAAGTTGCAAATATGACTGACGAGAAACTTAATTAGGAAAAACGAGAGATTCGTCCGCGACTACAAAAATCATCAGTTAAAAGAGGACAAAACAGAAAGAAGAATTCACTTGAAGAAAATTAGATTTTGGATGCATTTTTCTATTTATTGTAAAAGATAAGTTTTTGTGCCTCGTATTCATAGCTTTGATCTTCTCGCGTTACGTTAAGGAATATGTGAACTATTTCTTGGACATTGTTCTTAATTAGGGACAAGGAAGAAATATAATAACGGAACTTTATCATAGTCGAAATTTGTCCTAAGATCGTTACTGTTGGTTTAGCGATGATTAAAACGAATTGAATGACTTATATGACGGTACATGGAGCGATTCCATGCAAGAAAAAAGGCATTTTTTTCCTTCGAATCCTCTGAACGAGTTTCATGTGAGAATTTTACTAAGGCGATCATTGATAAATCAATGGGCTACTAGAGTAAAACAGAGAAAAGACCAGAATCTCAATTTAAATTTCTTTTCAATACATGAGAAAAATATCTATTTATCGATTACTCCGTGAAGAGCTTGGCTTTTTATGGTCACTTGTCATCTACGAATGCTCAACTAAGTCTTTATTGTAGTAGAAATTATTTATACGATATCAATTTTTGTATCTTAGATGATGTTGCTTTTGTTTTATAGTCACATCGGTCAGTGTCAATCCCATTTTTACAGAATAATCTTTTCGAAAAATTTCAAAAAGCACGATCATCAATAGATACGAATGGATATAATCTTGCAAATAGATCAATATCTGTTGCAGACTATATAGATTTTGCAAATCATGCCCATTAAGCTTCTATATTTTGTCAACTAATACAGTAATAAAAATAATAATTTTCTCATGACTTCTTTTATTATCTTATTGTACAAGCATAGCTGAAAGAATCTTTACCTTTTTTCATAGTTTTTATTGCCATTGAGTCATTTACACTGATAATATTGATTCGCGTAATATTCGGAATGCAGTAAAACCTCCATTAATGAACACCTCTCTATAGCGAACACCTCCTGTTTGAACACTTTTCTCGGTCCCCCCAACCGATTTCTGCTGTAAGTGAGTCTCTCTATAGTGAACTCCTCCCAACTCTGAACATGAACACTATTTTTCGGTCTCTTCAGCAAAAAAACCTTTATATAGCGAACACACATACAACAAAGTATACGTGTGAATATGAAATAAGAGAAAAAAAAGAACACAGCGTTCATTCTGAAATGGTAATAGGTCAACTCATTGACGGTCTATTCATCACAAGAAAATTCGTCGTGTATATGAAACAAAAGGAACCATGAAAATGAATAGTTCACGACGAGTTAATCAGTCGCATATAAAAGAATATCGCACCTTTCCATTTACACACAATTGTAAGATAACGACACGACACGCATTGACCCTCTCTGAAAAGGTACAATTAATTCTTGAAAATGAAGAGAAATCTTCATATCGTACACTTGCCGACAAGTACAAGATCTCGATCGGCAGTGTATCAAGCGCAAGGTTTAGTACATGCAAGATTATGAACAAAATGAGAATTCAACCAAGAAGCGGAATTTCTGGAATGAATTCAGTCAACAGCTCGATCAAAAAGTGTATGAATGGTTCGTAGCGCAACGCAACAAGAACATTCCAGTTTCAGGTTCACTTCTACAAGAATGAGCCCGACAGGGTGTGGCTGTACGTAGCCGTCAATTAATTATGCTATGTGTACACTATATACGTATGAAATATCAGTTAATGCAAAATCTCCGTATAGTGAACACCTCCCTTAATGAACACTTTCTGGAGGGTCCCTTTTGGTGCTCACTGAAGAGAGATTTTACTGTATATTTTTACCTGCAGTAAAATTTCGATAACTATCGAATGAATTTTGCAAGAGATATGAATTTTGAGTTATTCACCAGTCTAAGATTTGGTGTGAGTGTGGATATGGATCTAAATGCAGATAACGGTTTCAACCACACCCACTCACATCCATTCTCACCCACGCCCACATCCAAAACTGTTTTTTATAGTGAAATTTGCCCGTTAAGATATTCATGACTAGGACCCTAAGGAAGATAGATTTATTATTATGATGAACCAAGCTTTGATATTCTATTGAGCTAAAGCACCGTCATTCTTAGATGGTAGCACTATAGTCTTCACGATGGCATACTGAGCAAAACGTTAAACTATGTGATTTAACAGTACGTAGTTAAAAAAAAATTTATTGTGTGGATTAATTTAACAATTATCATTAAGATTTATTTTATATTAAGGTATATGTTCCAGTTCTAGTTCTGTCTATAAACCTGTATTTTCATTCATTCTGCCAATCACTATTTACACAGATGTAATATACAATTAAGCATGTCATAACAGTGTTTAGTTAGCCTCAGTCGATGTTTTCAGCCGAAATGTGCGATCACTGCTTTAAATCGAGTTATGCGAAACTCCATGCGAGAGTGATATATTTCAAGTCATACATATTCTCATCGAATGATACTGTGAAGTGAAGTAAAATTAATCCTTTTTATTTATTTTTTTGTATATAGATAATGCAACGTTTATAACGTCACAATATGCATCATTGTTGAATAATGCCAGGGAAACGTTTTGTCGTACCAGTAATTGTTCAGGTGGAAACTATTATTATAAAGCATTTCGTATCAACGTTTCTACAGCTGGAAAGTATTATATCATGTCCAATAGTACGATGCATACTTAGGAATATATTTATAACAGCATATATCATCCTTCTGCTCCAGCTGAAAATTTAATGCTAGATAATGATGGTGATGCAGGGCAATATCAATTCTTTTTAGTTTGAACCATCTCATTGGATGAGCTAACGAAATGCGTTGTGGTTGTAACAACAGTGCTTCCCGATGTAACTGGAATGTTTTCAATCGTTGCTGGTGAACCAGCCTCAGCTACTTTCTCTGTTGAATAGAATTGGTGATATTTTCTCTTGGAGAGTCAATTAACATTAGTCGTGCTTTCCTAGATCGGAACAAAACTTTGATTTTTCATTATGAATTCATCGCTTTTAACGTTCTTTGCTTTGCTATCCTAAAACAGATCTTTTCTCGAAAAATGCTATAGTCGATTTTGGTTGGGCATTTTGTCAGATTTTTCTTTTCTATTACATGCGTTTTCTTTTGTATCGTCTCAATGAATATTGAACGAATGGGACGGATCATCGTAACTTTTCTCTTTGAGATTCATTTTTTTCTAGAATTCATCTATTTATTATAAGTTATTAATTTTGATGTTATGTAGGAATATCCAATGCCAACATGTGAAATATCTTTGAACTCAACGAATTTTATTATTAAAGTGATAGCATTCTAGTCTACTATAGTCTAAGCTGTGAAATTGAAAGCATGTTTTTTCTAGCAAAAATCAACTAAGTGATAAGTCTTCATCGTTAATGGACATCTGGCCACTCAATAAAGACTATTTCGATTGTTTTTATTATCTCATATAATGTTTGAGAAGGAACTGTGACTGACTTCTTCGAAATGCGGCGAATTTCTTGAAATTTCAAGAAAAAGAAGCTCATCACATAATAAGTGTTTCTTATAGATACTAATTTTCTAGAAAATAGTTCTAATTTTTACACGTAAGTGAAGTTACCAACCGATTCGGGTATTTCCACCACTGATTCACCTAGGAATCTGTTCCAAGTGTTCCAGTTCTGTTCCGAGTAGAACTCGATGAGCTCTATCCAACAGTGCAATCAGATTTTTCATAGCTTTTGCATCACTAACAAGAGTGGGTAAAAACCTAACGGAATATATCAATAGTTATCTTCTCAATGTTAGTTTTACAGTTCTTATTTATCTCTTTTATTTCTTTTAGTGTCTGTATCCCTTTGACACCCTTTAAAAAGAAGGAAAGACATGAATGTCATAATAACTTCATAAACAGTAAAGTGAAATGTGATAAAATAAAATTTCTCATGAATCCATCTTCAACATCGAAGGGTGCGGATGTAGCTGTAGGTGTGTGGATGTGACTGTTCTTTTCACCTTCACCCACACCCACACTTGCATATTCGTCGCAGCTAACATGACAATTTAGATGAGTTCACAATGCGTACAAAAAGTTAGAAACATTTCTCAGAAGATGGTATGAGTTTTGTTGACAAGAGGAAGAACACACCCACACTCTAAAACCTTGGAAAAAAAACTGTTTTTCCCCGTAAACTCCCATTATTTGCCCGATGATCTTCTCTGAAAACAGTATTATTCGGTCCAGAATAAAATTCTGCATCCAACACAATCTACTAGAATGATAGCACAGATGCATAAGTGAATCGGGCGCTAATTTTACTGACGTTATATACACTAATTACTTTTGCATTTTAATTAGTCGAATCACCATTTCGTCGTATTTTTCAAACATCTTATCCTGATATACCAAAAAATGATGCTCATATCAAAATAAATACTAAGAATTTCAGCTAGAACTCATTCGATTACTAATTTCCAGACCATAACCGTTCCATTAATATGGTCAATGAAATCTTTGAATTCGAATTTAATAGTGATTCTGAGAGTAACAGATACTTTTTTTCCAGTTTTGTTTTCATCGATTTGCACACTTAACATATTTTTCAGGCAGTGTTGACAGTGATCTTGTCAGAATGAAGTTATAATTGAATCGTAATTTCAGTGTCACACCGCTTGAATCCAGTCTGATACTTATCCGAGAATTTGTACCTTAGACTTATAAAGCTTGGTATGTGGCATCACAATTGATTAGCTTTAATCAATTGATATCAAAATATTTCTATCTTTATTTTTATATAGTTTTTGCTTCTTGTTTTCACTGAAAAATTAAATTTGATGCATTAAATTTTTTGTTACTTACGAGGGAACCACCCGAGGTGATACCTCCCGTTTTCATTCATTCATATCTCATTTAGTCGAGTATATTGAGGTAGTAAAAACCCTAACGGAATTTCTCCCCAATCCTCTGCCTTCAAAAATAATCAACATTTCTTTGTTTTTACTGTTATATGAAGAACAACTCTTTTTAATTATAAATTAATGAAATTCAGTTAGAGAGATTTGACATTTTGACAATAGANCGTATTATTGCCAATGCCATTTTCTAGTTCTATTGCTTTAATAAACGTTTTGGAAGAACTCAGATTTGTTTTCTTACTTTTGGTTGGTCTATATTTGTACACTTTTAACAAATTACTACACTTAGGCACTGATCATATGCTGCATCTTTGAATTATGTCACCCAGCATATGTGGTACAAATATGAGCTTTAACTTACTATGTTCAATAAAACAAACGAAAAAATTATGTGTCCTGTTACTTTTGAGCCACCCTGTATATAACATGCATTTGTCTGTTGGGTTTGTGTGCTGTTAGTTTTCGGAAATAAACTGCTTCTACACAACAATGTATTACGGATCTAACATCAAAATATACGGTAGTTGTGATGCCGTACATTAGTTTGCTCTGGTCTTTATTAATAAGCACAGAAAATCGTCGGAGATATTGATTATTCTTTCAATCTCTAAGAATTTTCAGATTTTTGTGTGACTATTAACTTACTCGAATTCGTACTTGAAAATGCCAAAGGAAAAAGAGTACAGTAAAGACATGAAACAATTGATGTTTCGAATAATCAGCTTCTTCGAAGGTGAAAAGAACGGTCTCAAATTCCAGGGTGTGGGTGTGTTCTCGGTATCATAACCTATGTAGAACAACACCCTCAGCAACCCACATCCACACCCTACTGTTTTTCAAGAGAACCGAAATTCGCTAAAATAATAAGGATTTTGTTCGATAGGATGTCTCGTGTGCGACTCGTCGAAACCTATCGAATATAGGTACTTATCATGCATTTTTATCGAACATTTAAACTAAATATGAAATATTACTTTTATTTGAAAGTTATCTTTTCAATTCATAAAAATGGTAATTCTTTCAAGACTGTTGTTATTTTCATATTTGGTAGGAAGAGTATGCGTAGATTGTTGAAGATTATATGGTTATTTTTTCTTTTTTCCTTTTTCAGAAGGATATTTTTTTGGTTCTTAAAAAATAAAAGAATAGGGAGATATAACAAAGACAGCGAAAAGATCAGATTAGCGAAGATCCTACCCTTGAGAAATCTGATTGGATTAGAGTTTGGAGGTCAAAGCATCAGATTGACTAGGCTGCAAGCAAGAAAAAAATCTGATTAACTAAGATTACAGTAGGAAAAAAACTCCATAGATGCAGTTGTCAGCACAGGAAAGACTTCAATCACATAGCTCTAAATCCACACCGATACATGTGTATACGTGACTTCACACGTTCAAAAATACTCATTTTATTTCATACGGCTCTCAGCTTCAGTCGAGAAAACAAAGCTGCAATTATAATTTTTTTTTTACACAATCGAGATTATTTCGAAATGCTTGAAGATTAGGATCATTTGGAGATAATGAACGTTGTCCAAGTGCAACAGCGCGTTCACAGAAAGAAAGTGCTTTCAAATATTCGTCCATGTTAGAATATGTCAATCCAATATTGTTGTAGGAAGTAACAATATCCGGACGATTCGAATGGAGAGTTTTTTGACGGATGTCAAGTGCTTTTTCGTGGAACGAAAGTGCTCTCCAGTATTCACCCATCTTATAATACACGGAACCGATATTATTGTAGGAGGTAGCTAACAAGGGATGATTCGGAGGCAAAGTTTTTCGGCAGATCTCAAATGTTTTTTCGTAGAACGGAAGTGCTTCTGAGTATTCGCCCATATTATCGTATCCCCCCGCGACATTGTTGTAGGAAGCAACTAAGTCGGGATGATTTGGAGGGAGAGCTTTTTCCCTAATTTCAAGGGCAAATTTGTAGAACAAAGGTGATGTTGAGTAATCGCCATTTTGTGATACAATAACCCGATATTGCCATAGGAGGTAGCTATGTCGAGATGATTATCAGGAAGAATGCTCGCTTCAATTTGAAGTGCCTTTCCATAGAACGAAAGTGCTTTCGAATACTCACCCATATATTCATATATTGAACCGATGCTGTTATAGACAGTAGCGAAACGGAGATAGCTTTGAGGGAGAGTTTTTTACGAGTTCTCAAGCGCTTTTTGTGCAAATTTAATGGCCTTGTCGTATTCGCCTTGCATACTTGTGATCGATCTGAGCTGAATATATATTTGCGCTTTCTCACTATCATCGGATTCGTCTTCAAGCAAAACGTCATATACTTTTCCGCGTGGTTAAATTCATTTAGCCTAATCAACAATCGACCGAGGCGATGCCATCCCGTTAGTCCTCCAGTCTCTTCTTGCATCCATTTGGTGATCGCGGTCAGTTGTGGATCGTTGCCATTCGTAGGAGCCAAAGTCACTTGCCACAGTCGATTATTTCCATCGATTTGTTTGACCTCTCCAATGCGAAAGACCGTATGCATCGAGAAGAGCACTTCTTCTTCGGACGGAAAGTAGGTCATGACGTTGTCAAGATGAACAAAGGAAGCTGATGAGAGTGACTGATTGACTGATATTTCAAACAGAATTCCTATCAAATCCGGATTCACTTGGCTACTGTCAGCGAAAGCAAAAGAGATTTCTCGATTTTTACTGGTAGATAAAAAGTTGTTGAATGCGAGCAGACCACCTTGAGTCTGGAGGAGTTTCTCAAAGTCCATTTTGGACAATCCATGGCCGCGATAGACCGTGAAAGAATGTCCATTTGCTCATTCAATTGTTCTGCATGCAGTTGTTCGATGTGTCGATGAAGATCACGAATGAAGAAGCCCATCTTAAAAATGGTATCCACTTTCAGCGTACGTAGCGCCTTATTAAGCATTGAATAGAGAAAATAAGGAGCTGTGTACCATCAAATAGCCTTTTCATGATGATAATCATGTTAGAATTCAATGATTTTAGAGTCGCCCAGATTCTGCTCACGACAGTAGTCAACGAACTGTTTGACAGCTTGAGAACCAAAGTCACAGATTTCTAGGAGAATCTCTTTCAATAATTGAGTATACATGAATGACTAATCAAGTTGATCTAGTCTCCTTCGATAACATCACATTGGCGTGTAACTTGTTGTAGAGACTCACAAATGGGACCAATTTTGGTGAAAACACCCTTGAATTTCGACCAATCTCTTGACCATTGTTCATGACACATGCTTTTGTCGCAAAAGATGTAGATAGCGTGGAGCTCAGATACATCGTGAATGAGTGGCAGAACGTTTTCGCTGAGAGCATCAGAGAAAATGATGACAACTTTTCCGTCGTTGATTTGAGTCAGAGAATGAATGCATTGATCAACATTGGTGAAAATATCGATAACATTGATCACCCGTCGCAGTTGATCAAGTGAATCCTGAAAATCTTGAGAGGCCTCATCCAGATGCGTGTTCAACCACAGAAGAACAAAATTTTGTAAGATTCGTCGTGGTTGATTTTGCTGAATGACAGTAGTATGCGTTGTGGATGAACTGAGTCATGTCTCGGTATTCGCTTCGCTGGCGGAACTATTGATTGTCGTTAGTTTCTGGTTATTCGTGTTGTATGCAGTCATAAAGCTGAGGTGAGTAAGAGAATGGATGCTATTGAGAATGAGTGGAGTTCTTCTATTCACATGACATGTTTCTTCCTTTTTTTCTTTTGCTTTTTACCAACTGTCACATTCTCTTTTTATAGTCACTCAAGAGTCGTTTAACCTCTTTACTGAAAGTGTCGCTTAGCTGACAAATACAGATCAAAAGAGAAACGCACATGTAACGTGGTAACAAACAATCGAATGAAAAATTCATGCCAAATCATTCGATAAAAATAGGTTTATATATGTGAATGCTGTTTTTGCATCATCCGCTCGGTTTGTATTCAAATTTGAGGCAGTATTTTTGTGAACTTGTCTCTATTTCTTTATGTGAAATCGTGACAAATGGACAATTATCATAGGTTATGATTGTATGAGGCAAAGCTATGAAACTGGAAGTCGTTTGAGTAATAAAAATTGATCGAATTTCAAACCGAAAACCAAAGTGACCGAAAAAGCTGATTGGTTATTTCTCAATGCTATATAATCCAATAAGTGCTTGTCCATATTTTATTTTCACTTTTCCATAACAGAGCTAACAAATTTCATAATTCAATGAATTAATTAAGATATTAACAAATTAATTGGGAGTCTATGAAATATGTAACATAGTGGGTGGGTGTGGGTGTTGCACGCTCTTACTTACACCCACACCCTCGACGACCCCCGCTTACTCTGCATCTGTCACATCGTCCCAGTATCTGACCAGTCAATGTTTCTACTGACGATTGTTCTTCACTATTCGATATCAACAATGATTAGTACAGAAATAGTGGGATGTCACCAGTTTTCAAAGTGATATCTATAGAAATATTCAATAAAATAAATGTAAACAAAGGTAAACTTATATAAGAAATGTTATTCTCGTCCTTGTTCTATGGTCTGTTCCTACTGTAAAGTCTTATCGTTGCCGCACGTCTGTTTTAATGATAATTTCGATGAATGGATAAGTTTTCTAAGATGCGCTCGGATACTTGCTCGTTGCCACATATCTAAGTTAGATGAGAGTCTGCAATGGAACTATGACACGTACAAGTAATTGTACGCGTATTTACATTTATAGCGAAAGAATATGATAGTCACTTGTTTTTCTTTCAAATTATTTGCAATACATTCAATTGCATTGATAAGTAGTACAAAGTGGTATCGAAATGCTTGTTGTATAAATACGCTAGAAGATCATTTTCGAGAAATGCACCGAAAGCCCTAATAATAACCAATTAACTTTCTTTATTCTAGAAGCAGAGGTTGACCATGCAAGAGTAAAATGTGACTTTCACAGAACTCTACCAGCTCAAGAAAATATTTCTAATCGAATTTATTCTGTGTCTGATCTGGGCCTATTTCTATCGGCAACATTTATATACTAGGCGCAATCCTTAGCTCGAATACTTACAGCATGATATCACCGAAAAAGTAGAAAGCTATTTTAAAAGAATCAAGAATAAATGGATGTCTTTTATTAATAGACTAAAATGGGAATGAAGGTCATATATTCATCACAGTGTGCGATGTTGATTCTCAATTTCATCGACACTATTGCTGTACTGATAAATCAATATGTAAATCATGGATATCCTGCACTACAATTAGAATTTGGATGTATTCTCATTTCACGAATCTGGTTCGAAATACAATAATATTCAAAGCACTTATTCCTTTGATTGTTGGTCGCATTTACCATCGATGTTTGTATTTTATGCCTTCTTTTACATTTGGGCATATATATGTTTGTAGAAGTTTATCCTTCAGAGGAAATATTTAGACGAAGTAAAAAAGAAAATGTTTGTAAATATGAAGGTACGAATAAAAGTACAGTTAACTAATTAAAATCATCTTCAATTGTTGTATATTCTTCATATTCTATTTTATAGCCAAGTAATTGACCAATGAGTGCACCTGTTTTAACCATTATTTTCATGATAGGCAATGGTAAAGATGCTGGATAAACTTGAGCATTTTCAAAAAGTACAAATATTTGCCACATAGATATGTGTTGATCGCGAAAGATGCCAGCGAAATTTTCAAAGAATCCCTGTCGAAGACCACTGTACCTGTTGGCCGGTTCGAGACGAATTCGTACAATGAGATCTTCTTTATTGTCGTCCATCCAAAATGTGTGTGGTAGAAGAGGTGGTACAATGAGAGGACGTGGGCATGTGTGAGTATCACATGAATATACTTTATTACCTAGTTGATAAGCTAGATGACCCTGTAGAAGAGTGAAAAGTTCTGTTTGTTCGAGATGTATATGAAGAGGTGGTGTGCATGATCGCTGCATTGCTGGCACCTGCAGATTGCCACAGAGACCATTTGCATATATGATATTTTCACATTCAAAATATGAATTATTTATTTGTTGTGATCGATTAAAAAATTGATATGAATCAGTATTATTTGCCAGAGAAGTTGCAATGCGAGATAAACCTGCCGTACGGGTTCGAATAAGCTAAATTCATTGTAGAGATAAGTGACACAGTATAGAAAAAAACTTGTCTGTCTTGATTAGTCGGATGAATATTCTTTCAGATTTAATGCGTTCTTTGGCTAAATCAGGTTTTGCAAGATTCAAAGCATCATTTGAGAATAGTAGAGAAATGTTACATTTATTCACATTTTGAAGTTACTAACTACAAAATCCAAGAAACCTCAAAAGTTTCCTTTATTTAGATTGTAATTGGTCAACAAAACGAAAAACTTTCTCTTTTTTGTCTACCATGAAACCGAACAAAATGTCTAGCCCATCTCTAATATGCACCAGTCAAATAAGAGCTTGAGATTAAAATTTAAAAAAAAACCGACCTGATATGTGCAATGACGATAATAGCCAAGCCATGCAGTTAAACTGCCTATTACAAACCATTTCAACCACCACCACATGATATATTTCGTGTATGCTTGATAAAAAAGTGATAAGTACAAAAGAATATCTGACTATCGAAAGAACGAAAGAACGAAAAGAGGACTACTTGAAGCAATAAACAAGGCAAACAAAACGAACACGTGTGTCAATTACGTACGATGATAAAAATGGGACGCGACAAACTGTAAAATATTATAATAGAGTATTTTGTTCAATTAAGTAAATAACAGCAAAACTGAACAGTATAATTTCAGATATCATAGAAGGGCGAATGTTGATTGTTATTGCAAAAACAACGAAAAACGAAGGTTATACATATTAAAATAAAATAAATGCTATATTTTCACAAAGTTGAACTTTATTTCATTCTAACCGTATAACTGATAGCCATTAAATATCGTATTATCTCCACTAATGAATATTGTGATCCTACAGATTCAAATTTAGAAGATCAAATTCGGAAACAAAACAGCAACTTACAGGCATTTCAATTATTTCTGTGTCTTATTGAAAGTTACTACCATCAATCGATCATTTTTTATTTTGAAATATCTTTACAGTAGATTTAAATGACATATGTTATAATTTCAAGATGAGATGTTCAATTATGAAATTGAATGTATAATGGAGAAGAAATTCCTTACGGACCAATGACATTACGACTCGTTGGTCCGATGTGATCAACTAAAAGATCAAAAGTTGAACTGATTCTTTTTCTCGATTTTTAATCGACTGTTACCAGAAAAGCTTTCAAGATGAAAAAAGAATGAATGTTGCAAATGAAGCTTTCACAGTTTACAGCGTTCATTGAGTTTTCATTATGTGTTTAAAATTTGAATATAAAAGAAATCTTTTATTTGAATAATGTGCAATACAATAGAACGACTTTTATTATAATGAAGATTTTAGCATAACTAATTATAGACTGCTTAACAGTATCGTGTGATCATAAGACGTTGATTCTAATGTGTTATGATGAAAGATGTTCCAGGGGAACTTTAATACCAATCATTTGCCTAAGAAAAACTCCGAATTTCGTATTACTTAGAATCCAATAGAATTGGCTATGAACAATTTGCTTTTTTCATGGTATGATCTTCTTAAAAAGAATGTATCACAGGATCACGATTTGGTACGACTTCTATTTCGGTGTATAGAAAAAGAAATTCACCTTTTTTTGATATACACAGTTGTTTATATCATTTTAAGACTTTCGTGTCAAAAATCTATTTTTACCCCACAATAACCGATATGGCTGAAACTTTCAGGGAATGTATGTCCAAGTCTTAATAGTTCACAGTAAAAATTTCAGTCCAAAATATTGAGCTATGCATGAGTTATCATAACATCAAAGGTCACAAAATAGCTCTGCGCGTGAAAAGGATTTCTTATCCAAATCTAATGATATATATTTTTAATTGGTTTTAAAATGCAGTCAAGACCTGTGACTATAATCTAACAGAGGCCGATTTTTCAAAATTTTGTTTCTTTACTTCTGATGGTATTTTCTCTCAAAAAAAACGAAAAATTAGGCATATCTCTATGGAAAAAATTATTTTTTTTTGCAATCGTAAGTTGAAAATAAAAAATTCTGTTCTGTTAAGTTGTAGAGCAAAATTTTCTCTTCAATTTAAAATCTTCCCGAGCTTCCTATCATGAAAAACAGCTGAGAGGGTATGGTTGTTGACACCTTCTTCACTGACACCCACACCCACACCCACACTCTTTTATAATGTTTTTTCGCGAAAAACGGGCGTATGCGATTGTTTACATGAATATTTGCAACTGGAAAAAATTGATTGCAGTTCAAGTAAATATCTACAACAATTTTAGTTACAGAAAACGTTACTTAGAAGATATCTAAATCCTGTTTCGTGCAGTTGTATGAGATTACATTTCTTGATGACGTTATTATTGAACATAGATAGAAAAAATGAACTTTTTTTCAAAAAGAATCTTTAGCGTAATTTTGCTTCATATACCTTGAAAAGCTATGGTTTTCACGTTGATCACCATCTTTTCATAACGTCAATTTCTTCAGGATACCACAGATATAATTATCATTTATAAAATCACTATCGGGCCAGAATAAGTAATGACACTAAACTAGTTGCTTAATCATATCATCAATGCGGTGCAAAGCATCTTTATAACACTGTATCGAAAGTTTTCTTTATTTATTTATTTCTAGCTAGACATACGTATCTAAATTTCTCAAGAACGAAAAGTGAGAAAATATTCGTTCAAACGTTAGGTTAAAATGCCGAAATCGAACCGGAAACTGTTATTTTTTCAATATTGTCTACAACTCTCCATTTGCTTTTAAATAGTATCATAGAGATGAGTTTTACTGTAGATATTTTTTTAGTTGTGTTTTGACTTCGATCAGCTGATGGGTTAAAACGTAGCATTGCCGATTTAGAACGATAAACAAAAGTTTACTGGAGAGTAAGCATGGTTTGGAAAATTGCAGTACGATAAGTGCAGCTATGAAAAAGAACAAAAAAATGATTCATTCATTCTTTTCGTATAGCTCAATGATAGTTAAATTCATAGTAAAAAATAAGAAATAAAAGAAAAAACATGTATCATGGATTTTCTTTACAGGTCAATTCTAACATTGTTAGTGTGAAGATGACGTTTAGTCTTATAATAAACGTCGAAATATCACAATTAAAAATGAAACTATTAGAAGATATATACCATTTTTTAATAGTTGTATCTGTTGTACTTAAATTATATGCTTTACCTATATATAACAATTTAATTATTTATGTTTTGGAGAAAATCAGCTCGTATTGAATCGTAAAAAGGATGGAAATATTCTTTAGAATATATCGGCTTTATTTTGTTCTTCTTAGACAAAGAAATTGAAAGTTGATATTTTGTTTCATGTTGGTCTCCAGAATGGAAAACCAGAAAATGATCATTACAAGACCAGATGAAAAAGTCAAGATTGAATTGAGAACATAATTTATACTATTTTTATATGAAGTTCCTTGTGTTAAAGAAAGACAGCAAAAATGAAAACTTTTGCCGACTTTTCGATATAAATTTTAATTTGTTTATTGCGAAACATACGCAGCGAAAGTTGTCGTTTTCTGTCGAAATGAACTCAAGAACAGCAGGTCAGAAAAAAGTCGTTTGAAAGTGAAACGAAACTGCCGAGGTTGAACTGATACGGTGTCTTTGTAAAACTTCTCAAGGATGTTTCGTTTGCTTACAAATAACGCTTGAAAATGACATATTTTTGAGAACTTTGTTTTCTTTAAACTTACAGGTAATACAAATGAAGATAGAAAGACGAGTTAGCTGCCACTTTCTTTGTTTAATTTTATAACAACTATGAGTACAGCTGATGATAGGAAATGAATCATTTACATAAGTAAAAGACCAACCGATATGATACTTTAGGAATGATGCATTTAGTCATGTCTACTTTTCAATTAAGTTATGATTTCGGTCAGCTAATCGATGGAAATAGAATATATTCAATTTACCAAGATAAAGAAAGTCTGATTCTAGTAAAACATAAATATCTTCCTGTGAAAAATCGTTTTTTGATAAATGGTAGAGATGATTATTCGTTTTTCTTTTTAAATACTTGATCTGACTACAGTCTTTTGAAAATGAAAGATATCCGCATCAGATCAGTGCCATTCATTCAGAATAAATAGACGCTGATTCATGCTGAATTATGTTTTCTTTCATTGTTTCCATAGTTTTATCTGAGTCCAGATAGTATGTTATTCAAAAATAGCTGCAACAATGGAGCAACATAAATTTTTCTGAATAAATGGGAATATTTCTCACTTTCAAGAGACTGAACGAGCTACAGCTCGTTGAGAGAAGCTCCTGTTAGAATATATTAGTTCATGTTTTCGATTTTTCTTTTGAAAAAGTCTAATATAGGTGTGTTTGTATAAGAGCCAGTCCATATAAGCCACGACCGACTTCATAGAGACCCTGCTCAATCGATGTCGTCAGATTTTGCTCAATTTAAGATATGTTATAGAGGGAAGAGTTTTATGATTTTTGACGCAAGCCGATTCAAAAAATATTGAT